ATTATATGCTTGTATGTGGATGATATGTTGATTTTTGGCTCTAGTATGTGTGTTGTTAATGAAACAAAAAATTTTCTTTCTTTAAATTTTGATATGAAAGATATGGGTGAAGCCAAGGTAATCTTGGGTGTAAAAATCATAAGGAATGAAAATGGAATCTTGCTTTTCCAAGAACATTATGTTGAGAAAATTCTCAGAAAGTTTAGACATCTTGAAGATGCTCCTCTGAGTACTCCTTATGATTCAAGTGTGCAATTAAAAAAGCACAAAGGTGACCCAATTGCTCAATCTGAGTATACACAGATTATTGGGAGTCTGTTGCATTTGATGAACTTTACTAGGCCTGATATAGCTTATGCTGTAGGCAGATTGAGTAGATATACTCACTGTCCAGGCAGCAAACACTGGGAGGCTCTGGTGAGAGTCTTGAGATATTTGAGAGGTACCATGAATTATGGTATATTGTATAGTGATTTCCCGCTGTATTGGAAGGATACAGTGATGCTAACTGGATTTCGGATTCAGAAGAGACAAAATTCACTAGTGGTTATATATTCACACTTGGTGGTGGTGCAATAACTTGGAAGTCAGCAAAACAGACAATCAACACAAAATCGTCAAGGGATTCTGAGTTCATTGCCATAGAGCTGGCTGGGACTGAGGCTGAGTGGTTGAAAAACTTCTTAGCAAGTATTCCAATAGGTGAAAAGCCTACACCATCAGTGTCTTTACATTGTGATAGCCAGTCTGCAATAGCAACGGCTAAAAATAAGACCTTCAATGACAAAAGTAGACATATTCGATTGAGACATAATATTATAAGGCAACTGCTCAAAGATGGGGTCATCTTAATCGGTTATGTGAGATTAGAGTTAAATCTGACAGATCCATTAACTAAACCCCTAGGGAAGAAATTTATTATTGAAACGTCGAGGGGAATGAGACTTAAGCTTGTTTGAAATTAACGGTGATGGCAACCCAACCTTTGTGATTGGAGATCCCATGAAGAAGGTTCAATGGGTAAGAACAAGTCACTTGTTAGTTCTGCTAGCACTGAACTTGTCCCTTCCTATGGCTTGAGAAAGTGCTAGAATGCATTAAACGGAAGCTGAGCGAAAGCTCCTAATGTTTTCATACTCCTTACGGATGGTGTATTCATTGTAGATATACTTGATGAAAACACCTATACAAATGTGGAGTGGGGCCGCTCCTATGAGATCGTGGCAAAATCTCTAGAGCATTTGTTAAAACCAGGCGAGCGCATGGCCGATAACGTGCAAAACCATTATTAATAGCAGAGACTGTGGGGGTATAATCTGATTAATAAAACCTCTAGCACACATTCAAGATCCGTTGGTTCAATAATAAAGTTACACCAACTTTTCTGTGTGTTAAATTTTATTAGTCTAGGTTTGGTTCAAGTCGACAGACACCAAATTCAAAGTGATTATCCTCCGTGTGCATAAACACAGACGAACATAGATCCTTTTGACACATGTGGGGGATTGTTGTATGTGTGTCAAAAGTGTGTGTGTCAAAGTCCCACATTGACTAAAAGAAGGAATCTCCTAGTGTATATATACTAAAGAATGAAGTGGGCTAGTAAAATGGGCTTGGGAGAGAAGTAGCCTCGCGCATATGAGACAGGCCAACTCAGGGCAATCGCAGTTGAAATCAACCGATTCACCCCCTGCGCCCGAGTTCAAGAGGCACTGGGTTCCTTTTACTAGGTTATTTTTCCAAAAATGGTTAAATAAATAATTATTTTTGCTTACCTGAAAAACCTCTGATTTAGCTGTTTTCAAGTTGAACTTGAGGCGTTGGCAGTTTTCTGGAAACCGAATTCTGTGCGTTAATGTTTTGTCTGCCAAACGTCTCCAGATTGAACGCAGAACGTTTTCGGATTAATAGACGTGCACGTTTCTACTGTTTAAGGCGTGTAACTGAAGCATTAATCCATGAACGTTTGTTGTTTAATGTGTGTATAACCGAAGCATTAACTGGTAATTATAACCCAACGTTTGTGTCTCATTCCTCAGCCTATAAATAGACATGGGTGCGGACAGAACAGAGAGCCAGCGTTCTCGTCCTCTCCTCCCTCTGATCTTCTGTTCGTCTGTTCTCATTTTTAGTCTCCGCTATTCTATTCCCTTGCTCCGCTGCAGAAAGTGCTCGTTTAATCCTGGGGGACTGCCGGTCCACCGTCCAAGTGTACCAGAATAGTTCTTAAGGACAGTGTTCTTCCGGACACGACTCGAGCAATTAGTAGCTCGCTGTTCGCCTCTGCATCTGCTGCCTTCAACAAACTATTGATGTAATTTGGTAGAGGTTAGATTTTTTCATATGCTTATTAACTTTAGACTATGAGGTTTGAGAATGAATCCATTCTTTCCGTTGGCTGTTCCTGGTTTCGTACCAATAGAAAACTTCATGAACAACTAACTGCATACATCACTTCCACAATGCATTCATGAGCATGACTCTTACCGAGCCGTTGTACTTGAAATCCTTTTCAATCATTGTCAATATATCTTAGTTATCACTGTTATTCTTTAGTGGGATAATCTTCTTCTTCTTCTTGTATCACTGTTATTCTTGTTTAGTGCATCTTTTTCTCTCTTATGACTTCTATGGAAATGAGATGGATGTTATGGTATCTTAAGTAATATTGTATTTGATAATTCATGGTATAGTGCTGATACACTTGCTGACAAACCAGACCTTGCATGTTAGTGCCGCTGGTTAAAATAACTGTTTTTGGCTTCGGTATCTCTGAATGCTTTATATAAGCTTGTATTTCATGGTATATTGGTGTGTGCTCAAGAGCCGCATCAATAGTAATAATCCGCATTTTTTTCATTCACTTCGGAAGGTGTGTAGGCTGCAGCGGCATTGTAAGCCTGCGTGACTGGTAGTATGCTGAAGTTAAATAGCAGAATCATAGACTCCTGGGCCCCCCGTCTAGCATTCCTCGGGTTTTAGGCAGTTCCCAAACGAAATTCCAGAAAAACATCTTGAATGGTTGCATTGCCAATTACTTAAGGGATCTAGTCGTTCATATGCCTTCGGTACTCAGGGTAATTAATTGCTTCCATTTGAAATCTAATTACATCTCATAAAGGTTAGCCTCTGTGCAGGGAAGGATTGGCCTTGGAAATCTGGATCGCATGTTAGAGATTTTCACATAAGCAATGTCCTACCTCTTACGCATTCTTAGGCGTCACAGCTCATTCCTGAAATTGTGACGAGCGATTTAAAACCATACCTCGAAATAAACCTCTCATCCCATTACAAATCAATAAATGTGCGTCGATGTGATGGCATTCTTTGCAAAGGGAAGCCTCTGCTCGATCAAGGTCCAAGGCCATTTCTGAATGTTGAAGATGGCGTCAGGGATCAAATTATTTGTATCTTGTTGAATAAGAATTAAGATGAATCTCCTCTCGTTCCCAAGGATGGTTGTCACATGGAAGAATTTTATAACTATGAACAGGCTGATTTGTTTATTATTAGCATCTGTGAACCCTGGCGTCATGATGATGATGACGATGATTCGGTTCCACAAATTAGGCTGAACCAACTAGTCAATGATGGTTATATGTAATCCGCAATCCACTTGATGAATCATGATTATCCATTTTGAGGAATAGCATTCATCAGATTCATCATAGTTTAGGGCGACATTGATGACTGTTCTTGTCTCGTCCACACTTCAGAAGTCCTTCAGTTGCACTTTAGACATGATGACCAAAAAGGCAAAGCCGTGTTTGACACTCTCCTTTACCTTGAGCCACAGAGTTAGGTGCTATGGACAAAGTTACGCTGCAGTGGAGGACGATGTTTACATGTGAGCTTGAATTTTACACATGATGTTACATGTTGGGATTTAATAGTAAACATGCTGCCATTATATTATTAATCATGGGAGTTATTGGCTGCTCTCTCCGACTTAGTTTGACTCTTAACTCTAAAAGCATGGTATTTAGTGCCATTTCTCTCTCCCTAGGTCACCAACTGGAGTCTCATCACTTGGTTGATGACATTTTAAATTTCGTAATCCTCTGTAGATTTGATTCTCTCTCTCTTTTTCAAAAAGTGAAGATTCAGATTTGCAATGTCCAGTATCTCTTGTGTTAAGGGAGAAAAAATTATGAGCTCTATCATTTGAGAGTGACGATGGCTGCTGACATTGAATGTCGAGACACAAGGATCGAGAAATGGAAAGCATATTGGTCGAGTCCATGAGCAGAAGTTCATCAAGCCTGGAGGCTGTGTAGCTTTCAGGTACCCCGATCCTTTGCAACTTGTAAGTGGTGAAAAACAGAGATGTGTTGGACAATAATTGGAGAAATTATATTTATAAAGAGCCAGGAAAATAGGCAGAAGTTCACTTGTTTCGCCTGGGGAAATAAGCAGTGCCTGCACACTGGGGATGCAGGTTTAAATATTTCAAGTTGTGTATGAATAAATAAGTACTTACATATCAAAGTGTGAAACAGGTTTGTAATCTTTAGTAGGTAGATAACATAATCTATATATCCATCATGTCTTAGTTTGAGCCTGCTCTCGTACTGTATGTTGTAAAGAAATAGAAGACCAGTGAGTTCTACTTGTATGATGTGTTGTGTTTACATATTTGCTATTGTCTTTTAATTACACAGTATATAATTACTGTATAGGACCCAAAATCATTGCGTCCCCTCATCTGCCCCACTAACGAGAACTCGAGAACTTGTCAAGCATGACCTCCCACTCTTCCCTACCCTACCCTCTCACTTTACTCTTTCCTCTATTATTATTTGCTGCTGCTGCTGCTATTGTTGATGATATTTTTAATTTGGCCGTGGAAATCATTGAAGCTCTTGTTTATCGTTTCAACTTTGAATAGACCACTGAAGGACCCATGTCTCTGATTAACCATCAGAAGAAGCAAACCATATTTCACCATCCCTGGTTCATCTGATCAGACAACATCGGAAACAAGAGATTTGTGTTGTACGTGGAAGATAAACACTTGCGAGTGATAATTTTACGACAACTCAAACAGCCAGATGCTTATTCAGCTCACATATGAAACGAAGAACATATGTATATTAACAATAACACAGGCAATCACTATATATACTTGTGTTCCATTTATCCATTATTGTATGTATTTGTAATAGATTGGAGGATGCATGAGTTGATATAAAAAACCAACGACAGTGATGACGTTTAATTTTTGGGTTTGTGCTTCTGGGTGTAGATATAATCGACATGTGCCGCTAGCGTCCTTCTCATCAAGCATTCTTCCTTCCCTTCCACTGCTTCGTCGCAGTTTTCAACTTCCAGCTCTGTCCTCATCTCCATAGCACCCTTCAATTCAAATCCCACAAGCCCAACAAGTACAGAGAAAGCAAAAACGTCAGACGTCAAATAACTCTTGTGATTCTGTGTGCTTGCTTATCTCTGCTGAAAAGAGAGGCAATTAAAAAGGAAAAAGAAAAATGACTTCATGGGTTGAATTACAGAGGAAGATCAGAGGGAGGGTACCTCATCCAGAGAGGAGTGGCCGCCAAATCCAACGTTGGGACGAGAGGCGTGGATAAGGCCAAAGCTAAGCAGAAGGAAGATGGTGAAGATGAAAAGTTTAGACATTCTTGTGTTTGTTTGATCAGCTTTTTCACGGACTCTGATTGTGTGAGAGAGAAATGAGGAAGACTTGGGGGAGACTGCTTTATATATACAGACAAACTCGGATGGAATCAGTGATCAGGCGTCTGGTCCCATCTTTGATCACTGTAAATTAACCTTTTTCTACGTTCACTTATTCAGAATCTTCTGAAATAATTGACTTACTAATTACTTGGCATGTGTAATTGGTTAGGAAATTTCGCATTGGTTATAAAATCTTTGGGATAAAAATGAAAAAAAAAAATAGAATTTTGCTTGTGGCGGCCAGTGATATTAAATTTTAAAGCGTGCGTTGTATAGCATTTGTATTTTATAAATCCACAATGATCTTTCATTACTGAGTTTACAAATATAGTTCCATGCATTGAGATAGTTGCAAATGTAATCAATGTATGAAACGATATTTGTAAACTCAGTGATGGAATATCATTGTGTGTGTGTGTGTGTGACTAAGTTCGCTGAATCTCTAATTTTACTATTATATATGATGTAACTCCTGAAATTTTTCAATCTTTTTATTGTTAACCACGAGCCTATACTAATTTGAATAATATTTAGGTTGTTTTTTTTTTAAGTCAGAAAGGCATTGATTGAGTCTATTGTAAAATATTCAATTCCTTGATAAGAATATTCAATTTATCAAAAATAAATTTAATTAAAAAACACTTAACATCAAATAAAAATATAAAAATATGCATGAGCAAAATACTTAAAAGTTAGACTGTGAGAGAAATAAGTAAAATCTTCCTAAGCGTTGTTTTATGATTAAGTCCCGTGTATTTTTCCCTTTGATCAATATTTTTGTCTTCCATTCAAAATTTCCCACTTTGAATTCAACTTTTTTTGCCAATGAATATATTATTAAATAAATACACACACGCGTAAAATCTTCTAAAAATTGTTAAAGTTATCATCTTTCTCGGTCACTGAATGGAAAAAGAGTGTTTGATAATTTTCTAAAGTGTTATTATGATTCAGTCACGTGTATTCTTCTCTTTGATCAATATTTTTGTTTTCCATTCAAAATTTCCTACTTTGAATTCAACTTTTTTACCAATTAATGTATTATTAAGTAAATACATATATACATATATAGCCAAATACAAGCGTTAAGACTTAAGACAAAGGAAGAATGACAATAAAATTGAGGAAATTTATGACAATTAGATCCTATCAATTTCCTCTAAAAAATAATGTATTGATATTATATTGATTCAAATAATTATAAACAAAAATTTAAATTAAGAGCTGAAAGTTATATTTAAAATTTAAATATTTTATTTATAATTAAAATTGTAAAAATTTTTACTTTTTGAATTGATACTTATAAATTATTTTTAAAAATATTTTATCAATATTTTTTAAAAAAAATTAATTGTCAATTTCCCTGTAAAAAATGGCGAATTGGCGGGTGGCTATTTCCAATTTATGATCCCTACTCTGTTTTCCTCTGCATAGAAGAAAAGTTAACACGAAGCTGAAGCGATTTGGACGTCACGCACATTAGGAGAAGGAGTCGAAGGGAATTGCAGAAGATAGGAAGGGTGTGACCGCACTCGCTGTGTATATAACTGTTTCAGATTCTTTTTTCTTTTCACACTACTCTTGTTTTCTGTGACACGTCAGCGGCTATAATGTGATTAGAGATAAATGACAACTTGTTCTCTCAAATCTCAATACTCTTAGCCTAAGACTGTATTGATCTTACTTTATATCATTTATCGTTTATTTAGAATCTAATTCTCTAAATCTCATCTCCATTATTGTGTAGACGTTTTGGAGGCATGGGGGTGGCTATGTATGTCCTGTATTAATTTGTTGATGACTACGGGTTCGCGTGAGCTATTATCAATAGTTAATGACCAACTCTTAACTTTCATATGAAGGATCATACTTTTGGTGCTTTTTTTTTTTTAGAAAGTCAAAACTACACCAACTTCATATACTCTCTTCATTTTTATTTGTAAAAAAAATTATTACTTTTTATTTATTTTTTGTATAAATAAAATTACATATTCTCTTTATTTAAAAATATAAAATATTTTTAATCTTTCGAAGTGTAATCATTATTTTTTTAAAAGTGTCCCTATTAATAATGACTTTATATTTATTGTAAAGTATTTAATAAGGGTGAATATGAAAAGATAAGATTAGTTTAAAATAGATAACTACTTTATTAGGAATAAAATTTGATTAAAAATACTTTATATTTTTAAACGAAGGAAGTATTTCAATAAGTATTTATTATATATTTCATAAATCATCACTCATAATTTATATTAATAAAAATAATTAATGCATGTTTATATTGATTGACATAAGGAATTTTAGTTTTTTTTTATTTTTTAAATATAATTATTATATGTAACTAACTTTCTTAAACTATATATACAACTTTTTTTCATATATAAAAATGGAGGGGCAACCCATGCATGCAATAAAAATACACGTCCCCAGTACTTTTTTTATATTTATTATTTTTACACACACATATACACCAAGGACGGAGCAAAAAAAAAATATTTAAAAAGCTGAGAAAACAAAACATGTATAATAACATATTTTACTAACAGAATATAAATATTCAACATATATATATATTCATATTTTTTTTACAAATATATAATAAAAATAAATATTTTTATTTTTAAGTTTTACTCATTAATTTTTCATAGTATAAAAATAATTAATTATTATATTCATAATAAAATTTTCAACAATTTCCTTCTTAATATAAACTATTATTAAATTGGTAAAGATTTTATATTCTTCATGAGTATTAAATGATTTAAATACATTCTTAGAATTTAAAATTTTGTTCAATCTATAAAATCACATTACTTGCTTAGTGAATTTATTATTCAACTCTTTGAATTAGTAATTATAGTAAATAAATATATCAACACGATAATGATGCTCAATTGTTACAAATTCTTTGTGTCGATGAGATCTAAATATATTATAATAAACAACATTCATATAATAAATTTTAATGGCTTAGTTATTACATAAAAAATATTTTTTAAGAAAAACAAATCATAAACATAACATCTTAACTTTTGAATAAGTAATTTTATGATATATATCAAGCACGTATCATTCAATATATTTTGAGATTTTTATTATAGTGCTTGATAAAGTTTGTCAATAATAATTTTCATAATTTATTTTATCAAATACAAAATAAAATCGAGATCAAATGATATCAATGCTTTAAGAGTTAGTGTAGTATTATCTTATTGAAAATAATTAGATCATAAAACAACTACTCCCTCCGTTAAAAAATAAAAAATATTTGCAATCGAGTTTCACTCCCTCAGTAAAGTAGTTACCAACTTACTAATCATATTTTTTATATTTACTCCTATTAAATATCCTACAATAAATATAAAATTATTATCAATAGGGGCACTTTTAAAAAAGGCCATTATTACACCTCGAAAGATTAAAAATGTCTTCCATTTTTTAACATTTAATTCTTTAAAAAATACTTTATATTTTTGAGCAGAGGGAGTGTATTTTTATGCTATCGAAACAATTGAACTATACATAAGTAAAATGTTACATATAAAATTAAAATAAAAATTTGATTTAATATCTTAAAATTTTTATAATATACCAATTCAAGAGAGTTAAAAAGTATATGATCTTTATATTTTATTAGAAAAAAAAAGTTAGAGAGACTATGACTACCATTGACCTTTCTTTTTTTCAATCCTTGAATAATACCTAAACATATATATTAAAAGGTTAAAGATTAAAAATATTTTATTTTATTTTATTTTTTTGGTGAATTACCTGATATTGTAAACTTTTGTTCGAAGTAAAATAACCGTAAAACATTTGAAAAAGGTACAATTACGTTGACCGCTAATCTGAGAATTTGACCAAAACTTTACACGTGTCATCTGCTGGAAGAGGAAGGGTGTCGGTAGTCAGTGCTTTCTCGCTGACCCGCTGCTTCTCCTCTTCTGACTTCTCCAGTTCTCCTTCTCCGTCTTCCTCTTCTCGCTAACCCTCCAACAACTCCTCCTTCTCCACTTCATTCGTCTTCTCCATTTTGCCCTAAATCTCCACTAGCCTAGGTTTTGATCTCAACGCCACTTTCTTCTAGAAGTGCATATAACTATTCTGATTAGACTCTGGGTTGTCATCGAACTCTGAGTTCTGCCCACAAAAAGATCAACGAGTGGCTTCTGGTTTCTGCCCACACTCTGGTATCTTTTTTTTAAAAAAAAAAAAATTGGTGGTTTTTGAGCATTGGCTTGATGTTTCAATTTGCTCATGTGAAGCTGTTAGTTTCATTATCTCCATCATGATTTCCGTCATGCTGTGTTTGATCAAATGCTGCTTTATAAATTTGTTCTTTCACAACCTTCTCACGAGCACTGTTTCAATCAGATGGGAGGGGTTCAGCAGAGCAAAGCTCGACGGATTGCAATTGTGACTGGTAAAAATAGAGGTTGTGGAAGGGAGCTCTAGTTGAAGAACTCTCGTTAAAGATGCTACAGCGAACGCGAAAGTAAATGGCAGGACCACAAGGAGCTATGGCAGACGAACAGAATCACGATTTGCGGCGGAGCAACAATGAAGATGAATACTTGCATCAAAATCTCTCTCCAAGTTGTGCACTAGAACTCCCTGTCATTTCAAAAAAAAAAAAAAAACAATTCAGGATTGTCTCGATCGCCCTTTATCCACTATCATTATTACTAATCACTAATTAATGAGTGCCTCTCTGCTTTTGGATTTGGCCACAAGAGCTCGGCGACTTTGAATTTATGGTTTGCCCTGTATAACTCCAATAACTCCTTAACTCGCACCTTCTCGGTTGCCTCCCTGCATCTCTCCCTGCTAAGGCCTTCACTTCTGGTTCCTTCCCTGTTCCCTCCACTAACCTTTTCCTTCATTTCTCCTCCACTGATTAGAATGAAATTTGAACTGTCCAAATTTATTGCAAACTAAATATAAATGATTTAGATTTACATTTTTTATTTTTTATTTATATTTTATTTTATACT